TTCACATTGTATTTATTTTATACGTGTCGCAGCCATGTTAAAAACTTCTATTAGTGCACATTCACCTTCTGATTTGTATTATGACTATCATCATCTGTGCACTAATATGGCCTCTCTCTAGGCTTGAGTAACTTGCACTCGTACCTCCGAGTTGTAGAGCAGCCATGCATCGAAAGGGGCCATGGATGAGCTGTTCATTTACAGACACATGATTTTAATGACGAATTTTCTGTTTTCTCAGAACTTGGTTCACGGACACTCTTGTGCCAGCCGTATTAGTCATTTCTCTGACTTCTCTTGATGCAACACACGATGTCATACGTCATACATTAGCGTTCATGACAGTCCTAGCAGGTGATATCTACATTTTCCATTCCTCTGAATCCATCTCATAGTCGATGATAGTGCATCTGACTGTTATCAACCACGCTTCAAGTTGAAACCTGAATTTGAAGCCCCGGGTACATGGTTTTGTGCGTTTCCGTCACAATTTGTATAAAGAAGATGTCCCTGACGCGTTTGTCTTAACTTAAATGTGTTTGATATGTTCTCTGACCATCCGTAGATTATATGGCCAAGAAGTGTCGTTCACTGATCATACAGATCATCGTAAGATAGCCACGCATTGTAAATCATACCAGCATCTGTCCACCATCAACGTACATCCTGTTTGGTCAAAAGCAGTACATGTGTCAGGTGCATGAGATGATTAGTACCTGGTTATGGTTGACAAATCTTCCCGCATTCTCACATATCCACAGATGTGTTCATACCCCATTATCTTATTGTGATCACTGAAAACATTCGTTTTTTTTAGGATGAAGCTTGAAATCGGCTGCGGAAGAGCATTCAGAAAACTTGTGAGTAGTGCGTCACGTCTATACAAGGTATATTGCTCCGTTTGTTATACTAAAATATCCAACATCTGTCCGTTACCCACCACCGAGGATGGACAGGTCCAGTGGTATTTCCATTTCTCATTGAAGACAGTTATCGGGTTATTAGCCTATTAGAGACTCGATATCTGTATCTATCTTAGGTCGCCAATAGACTCGTTCATTCTCGTTACCACGGCACGTGCGTCATACGGTTCTGCCAGCAACCGCTTCCGAACTTACTTCGGTACTATTACTTGGCATGTCCAGAAGATGCAAAATTCGTGTAGTAGTAAATCATCCCTTTCTTTTGCGAAATCCCGAAGGTGCCCTGGAAGTCGGACCATCTGGTTTATAATGCGACAAGAATGGTAAAAGTATACCTTTACACCTTGCCCAACTCCAAAACATAGTCTCGTAAAGTATCAGGAAGGTCAGATTCCTGAAGGGAACCACAAAATTTCCGGAACTCACTTAGACCATCAAATCCA